GAGGAGAGGACACAATGTTAAGGGCCATTGTTATCTTTGGGCCAGGGATTTAGCTCATTGGCTCTTCCCACCTGCCCACATGCCTCACAAGCTCAAGGACCCGAGTTCAATTTCCGATACAAAAAAAAAAAAAAGCTTCTGCACAGCAAGAGAAACCACCAACAGCGTGAAGAGACAACTCACAATGTAGGGAAAAAAATTTTATCAGGTGTTCCTTAGTCAAAAGTCTACTGACTAGAATATGTAAACAATCCTTTCCTTTTGCAAAAGATCTGTCTCCCTGTTTCCTATTCTATTATCTATCTTTTACTTTGCTCTGTAATGATTTATGCTTCTGATTTCTCATATGAAAGAAACCATGCTGTTTAAGCTTGTTTGTCTGATTTATTTCACTTAGCATTATGGTTTCAATAATGGTTTCTTAACATATGGCATACATTTTCCTAACAAAGGACTCAGGTTTATCCTTTATTATGGCAGAGTAAAACTCCATTTACTCCATTGTGTTTAAATGCTACATTTTCTTTATCCATTTATTTGTTGGTGGGCATATAAGCTGTTTCCAAGATTTAGCTATTATGAGTTGTGCTGCTATAAACATGGGTATATAGAATATTGGATAATCTCTGTTTGATTTAGAGATAGCCAACATATGCTCTTGAAAAATTTGTATGTATAAAAAACAGATGAAATACAGTAAAATCTGCTGGGCAGGGAGGCACATACCTGCAAGCCCAGCACTTGGAAGGCTGAGGCAGGAGGAGCATTGGAAGTTCAAGGCCAGCCTGGCTACAAACTGAGTTCAAGACCATCTGAATTACATAGTGACACCCTGTCTCAAAAAAAAAGAAGAAAAGAAAAAGAAGAAATAGTTAAATCTGAAAAATGGCTAAAGCCTTTGAAATGTGATGATATGGCATATAAAGATGGTGCTATCTTGACATTAAATTAATATGAACTATATTTAAAAGCACAAGCCTAGAATACAATTTTATTTATTAAAAACCTATTTTTCAGTTAGCATAATCATTGTAGGAAAAGATGTGTTTGTATATTTGTGTGTAAATACAGTACATATGTATTCTTAGTGGATGGGGCAGAAGAGGCCAGATCATATGGAACATTATTTGTTATATTAGCAAATTTTGCTTTATTCTGAATGATTTGGCCTGCTCTGTTTTCCACTTCTTGAGACTCTATGAGTTCTTTCCTCTGCTAATCTAATCTGATGTTAAACCCAACCCATCCATAAAGCTCTTTTAAAAAAATTAATTTTATTGGAATGTTTTAGATATACAATATAATGACATTCATCACTGGAGCTTTGCACCTTTACATAATAAATCTTGATTCCTGTTTTACCTCCATTCCCCTGCCCTCCTTTCAACCCCTTCACTCCTCTCTATTCACAAAGACTTTGTTTCCATTTTTTCATTTTCTCATATTGATTCCATTCCATTCTTTCCTTTCCCCTACTCCTTCCACTTCTCCTTCCCCTTTGCATATTTTCTTCCTTTTTCACATTATCTTTTATACATTTTTGATCCTTATTTACACTTTCAGTTTCTCACTCTAGAGAAACTATTCAGTATTTACACGTGTCCTATTTATTTCACTTAAGAATATAGCCTTAATGAGCATCCATTTATCTATAAATGTGTCTAATTATGACTGAGTAGTACCCCATTTTATTAAAAATCACATTTTCTTTATCGAATCTACAGTTGACAGGCAATTGGGCTGTTTCCAAATTTTATCTGTTACAAAATGTGCTGCTATGAACATGGGTGCACATATATCACTGTGGTATGATTCTTTTAATTCTTTGGGAAGATTCCCAGAAGGGGAATACCTGGGTCAAATGGGACCTCTAATCCTAGTTCTTCGAGGTATCTCCACACTGATTTCAACAGTGGTTGCACCAGTCTGCACTCCCACCAACAATGGAAAAGCGCTCCTTTTTCCCCACAACCCCACCAACATTTGTTATTGGTTGATTTCATGATGATGGAGGAAGGGGGAAGGAATGGGGAAAGCAAGAGGATGGGCAAAAGAATCAAGATGTGTTATGTGCATGTACCTACTAATCATGAGAAATGTAATCATTATGTACAGCAAATTTGTACCAATAAAAATACAATATTTTAAAAAATAACTACAGAGCAAAACATTCATCTCCATAGGACCTAAAACAGGCCCTTGAGCAAGTAAATATTTAATAATTTTAAAAAATCTGCTTCTGACAGATTGAGAAAACAAAACTATAAAACCAATCTTTATCTATACCCCTGGTTTTCCATCTCAGGGACTTCATCAGCTGCTGGGAAGTTCCAGAATATCCTCCAGCCCCTGCCAAGTACTACATATTGTTTTTGGTAACCTGAATGAACTAAAAGATAGCTTTTATTTTCCTTATTTAAATCCAAAACTGTCTATGTGAACAAAATGACACTCAAGAGAAAGATACATTTTTTAATATTAGAGAGCACTAGCACCCAACATATGCTTTAATAATGTCAGAGCTTTGTGTAATACAGTAATCCCCCTTATGCATGGTTTCACTTTCCATGGTTTAGGTTACATGCGGTCAACCACAGTCAAAAAATATTAAATAGGACTGGGGATGTAGCTCAGTGGTGCCAGGCCTACTTGGCAAGCACAAGGCCCTGAGTTTGATTTCCAGTACCCACCCCAATTAAATAGAAAATTCCAGGAGTAATTCACAACTTTTAATTTGCTTGCTGTTCTGAGAAGTATAATTAAATCTCACTCTGTTCCACCCCACCCCACTTGGAGCATGAATCATCCTTCTGCCCAACATAGCTACTTTTCATGTTACCTGTCCAGTACTCACTCAGCTGACTATATACCAGATCAATTGTCATGGTATTGCAGTACTTGTGTTCAGGTAACCCTTATTTTACATAAAAGTGGGCCCAGAGTAGAAGAGCAAAAAGGCTGGCAATTTTGTCATTGTATATTGTCAATGTCCTTTTTTTTTAAACCAATTATTGTTAAGCTCTTACTATTCCTAATTTATAAATTAGGCATGGGTGTATAAGAAAAAACTCTGTATGTACTGGATTGGGTAACAGTGCTGGTTCCAGGCATCTACTGCAGGTAAAGGAGGTAAAAGAGGATTGCTATACTACAGATGGAGTAGTATTCTGTATGTAACAGGAGCCCACCCACAGGGCTGGTAGCAGAAGGAATCTTGTTACACAAAACAGAACAGCAACTCCTGAGAGAGCCTGTGAATAAGGAAATGAGGAAATAGAGGAAGTACAGTCACCCATGGTCCACCAGAGACCCCTGCAGGCAAAGGGACAACTGCAAGATCAGTGTCACCACAGTGGAATATGTGGACGTAAGTTAGATGACATCAGAGGACTAGTTAGATTAGATCACATGGGGCTTCAAAGCCATTTTTAAAATTCTGCTTTATGATTCTGATGAGAAGCCACTAGTAGGTTTTGAAAAGAGAAGTGAAAGTTCTAATATACCTGAAAAACAAATCACTGCTTTCTGGAGAAAGATATAGAAGAGCAAGGGCAGAGGCAGGGACTCTAATTTCCTGTGCCATAGCTTAGGGAGAAAGAGAACGGTTGGATTTGAGATCAATTTTCAAGGTACAGTCCAGAGCAGCCCCTGGCTCTGATCTGCTTAAATGTAGGATCTGAGCTAAAAAGAAGAGTCAAGAATGTTGCCTAGAATTTCAGGCTACTTGAATGGCAGTGATGTGTAATGAAATAAGGAAGATAATTGAGAGGGAAGTGAAAAAGAAGTCTAGGTGGGTGTGGTATTAATCATTCTGTTGCACAGAATTTAGATGCCCAGCAGACCTCCAAGTGTAGATGTCGAATATTGAGCTGGATGTACGCATGTGGAACTCAGAAGTAAAGCTAGAGACAAAAACTCATTAAGTCTCCAGCTTCCAGATGTTGTTTATAATCATGGGATATGACTTGGGATAGAAATCACCTTGCGAGAAAATATGACCAAGAACTGAACCCTGAGGCACTCTGACATTTATTGGTTGAGAAGCCCAGAAAAGCAAGAGTGATCAAAGAGGTATAAGGAAAGGCAGAAATTGGAGACTTGGAAACCCTGCGTGTGTGGGGGAGGAATATTCATGAAGAAAAAAGAATATTAAATTTAGAGGAGGAAGTAATTCACTTTGTCAGACACTCCTGAGGAGTGTCTGTGGACGAGAATTGTGCTATAGACCAAGGATTTCACAAGGTGGTCACTGATGACACCCAGAACAAGCAGAGGATCAGAGAGATAGAAAGTGTGGGAGGGAAGTAGGTAGAAATTGCGGAAGTGGAAACAGACTTAGAGACAAGTCTTTCAAAGAGCTTTTCTAACAAAAGAAATGGGAATTATTTAAAGGCAAGATTTTACAGCAGAAACTTGTTACATGAGTGAATAAATAAACCTGTGCGGAACAAATGACTGAACACATCAGGAACATTTATCTTGCTTCAAACGGAAGCCATTATATGTGCTCATCTATTTTCTGATTTAAATAGATATAAAATGGAGTTGCTTAACTCTACTACTTAAAGTGTTAAAATTTAAGGATCATATTTTTAAGGACTTAAAAAAAATTACTTCTCTCAAAAACTGTCCGAACAAAATACTAAGAAGAAGCTCACAGCTACCAGACCACAATATCTCTACCCAAATTAGGTTTGGACTTCAAATAAAACCCAAACCAAAACCTGCACTGGCTCCAAACGCTGGCTGAGGCTCACTGTGAGCCTTTAAGTCATTTGAGACTGGGCTGTTTGCGTATGGTTCTGAGGTTTCTTTCAAAAACTGGTTTTGCAGTCAAACTGAAACATGAGAAATGTAGGCAAGGCACTCAGATCTTTCCTTCCGGGTAAGGCAAGCCGGGAAAGAGGAGCTAGTACCACCCGCCCAGCGGTCCCCACTTGCCAGGAGGGTTCTTCACTGTGCAGCCCCGGGTTCGGCTGCTTCCTCTCCCCGGATCTGACCTGGACCTGCTCTGGGCGTCTGCTGGGAGGGCCTCGAGAGTGGTGGCTCCAAGTCTTGCCCTGCGGATCAATCAAACACGCCCCGGTCCGCCCCGTCCTCACAGGAACTCAGCCAGTAAAGCTGCAGCTGCGCTTTCCCGTCCCGGGCCAAATCCGTAGCCTAGGAGGCTGCGCCTGCGTCTGGACTCTGCTCGGGGTGGCGACCTGGAGTGAAAGCTGGCCAGGACGAGAGGAGGGGGAAGTCGCTAGGGGAACTGCCACTGAGAAGGCATCTGTGGACTCTCCCTGTGCTTCCTTTTTCTTTTAAAAATCCCCCCAAAAGTCCCAACTGCGAGGCCCAGATAAATCTGGAAAGTAATTCCACTGTCTTTACTTCTGCATCAAATAAATCCTACACCCTCCAGAGATACTGCGACTCCATCATCCCTCAAGATAGTCCCTTGATTCTTCCTGTCACTTTGGCGCTCTCTCACTGACCACTGCAGCCATACAACATCCCAGTCAGGACTCAACCCCTATATCCCAGAAGCCACCCAGAGAAAAATCTCTTTCTCAGGCTCCTTTTCCACAACTGAAACAGGTTGGAAAGCCAAGGAATACTGAGAAAAAGCCAATCAAGTGCGGGGTGGGGGAGGGGGGAGTGGGGGAAGAGAAAGGGGCCTTAGAAAGCCAAATCTTCCAGTCCTAGACATACCCTAGCGTTCAGAAGTATTTTCTCCTCTCCTCTCCTTTTAATTTGCAGTCAACCCCTATTTTTCGCCAAAGAAGAGAAATTGTTACCAAGTGAAGCCCCTGGGTAGTAAATATGGCTTGAAGGCCCATACCAGGCCTCAGAGGCATACCCCAGGTAGAACCAACACCGTGGATGGACCCCTGAAAGTGGGCACTGGCAGATAGCAATTACTTGGTGAAATGCCCTTGTGTAGTCAGAAAGCACCACATTCTGTCATTGTGTCAGGTTGACACAATTCATTATGCACTGGCAGTTGTTTCTTCTTACTCCACCTCCCAACAATTCTCCCAGGACATCAGGTAGACAGGCCTCCTTGTTACTAAATCCAATCGACACTTTCGTTGTTGGCATTTACCTTGCTAGTCTTCGGAAACTGACAAAGGTGGCCACTGTCTTTAATATAACTCAATTCCTAACACTGCCAATACTACTTCGCTTAAGTTCTGTTTCCTCTGCCTATTCTTCCTTTGCTAACCCTTCAAATCAGTGCTTTTCACACTTTTTCACTTAAGTACCACTTATAACAAACAGATTTACCAAACACGGACTTCCCCACTGACCATTTTTATTAAGTGCATAAATATGCTGGAAGTCACAAAGATGGGTAAATTTGCATGAACTATTCTTTGAAAAATGGTTCCAAAATTTGCACTGTTCATGTGATACACTAAGAAAATGTTAAGTTGGTTACAAGTTTAATTGCTTGTTTTCTCTCCAAATTTTCAAGAAAATGTACCAATCATGCCACAAACATTTACAGTGCCTTCTCTAAGCATATGAATATCATGTGAACAGGAGAGATATGGCCCTAGACCTTATGAAATTGTAGTCTGACCTGGGAGCCAGACACATATGTAAAGAAGCAAGACAATTTCAGCTGCCATATGTCAACAGTGAAGGAATGAATGAAAGCAGAGTAAGTGGGGAATTATGTTAATTGAACCACAGAATTGATAGCATCCATGACAGATAAAGTATTTCTTCTATGGCTTCACATTCTTGGAGCTTATTCCATTAAATTGCTTTTTTCTAAGTTCTTAATCCTGTCCTCTAGTTTATTCCATAGTTTCCCCAGATATTTCACCTAAGTCCAACACACACACACAAACATTATTTGAACATGCTGAGTTTGATTTTCCACACATTACGGCCCCTAGTACAATTTCAGAATGCATATTCAAGTATATGTAGAATATTAACAAAATTAGGCCATATTTCTCACCATAGAGCAAGTCTGAACAATGAAGTTTGAGAACAAAGTAGAGAAAAGCTTATCTGTACTATGTTAGCCTCCAAGCCCAACTTACTAGGTTCTCAGACCACCTAGGTCAGTGGTGGCAAACATACGGCATGTGTGCCACAGTGGGCTGTTTGTACTGAAAGCTCTAAAATGTTCGCCATCACTGACCTAGGTATTAATCTGAGACTCAAATCTAAGGATAATTAGAAAAGTCCCATAAGTGTCTGGAAATAAAATGCATCATCATAGAAATAACAGGATATTTTGATTTGAATATTTCACATCAAAACTTGTGGAACATAACTAAAATTCTAATTAGAGAGAAAACAAAGCCTGAGATTCACCTATCTAAACATCTATGTACATCAGAAAATTAGGATGGGGGGATTAGGGAAAAAAAAAAAGGAATGAATCCAAAATGGAACAAAAGACTAGCAATTAAAGAAATAGAAAAAAATAGGCTCAAGAGCAAAAGATGATTCCTTGAAAAGGCTAAAAAAATGCATTACTGATGAAACTAGAGAAAAATAAACCAGAAATAAAACAGCACTACATATATAAGATGTAGGATATTAAACCACTTAATTCTGAACAAACCGATAAAACTGGTCATCTTCCATGGGTCTTGAGTAGTCCTGCATGTCTTGCTGGGCAAAATCCTGACTACTGCACATCACCCATTTCTCAGGCTTCTGCTCATAGTGTGCAATTCCCTCCAGGACAAAAAAACTAGACTAGCCTATTGCCTGATAAAAAAGCAGTGGACTCCTCAGCCTCACTACTGCTCAGCTGTGACACAAAAGCACTACACACAGCGTCTACCTGGGCCCCTTCAGGTCTCCGTGATGGGATGTGTGGACAGCATAAGCCAATGGAAATATGCTAATGATGGTGCTGCATGTAAGTAGAATATTCCTTAAAAGGTAAGCTCAAGAAGAAACAATATTCTGAAGTCAACCTGTGAGGTCGGCATTGGTACCATACCAAAATCAGACAAGGACATTACAATAAGAGTACAGACCTCCCTTGTGTGTGCATCCCTGATGCAAAATTCCCAACGAAGTTTGAACAAGTGAACTCCAACAATATGCTAAAAGGTATCATATGCCAACCCAGTAAGTGTAATCTGTCATGTAATAAACTAAAACAGAAAAACTATATGACCCACTTAATAGGTACAGAAATACATTTGACAAAATCCAACATCTGTTTCTGATAAAAACTCCTGGCAATAGAGGGAAGCTTACTCAACTGTGTATCAGCAAATGAAGAGATAAATTGTGGCACATGTAACAATATTATTCAGCCATAAAAAGAATAAAATCCTACCATTTGTGACATGGGTGAACTTGGGAGTATAATATGCTGAACAAAATAAGCCAGACATAAAACAACAGATACTGCATGATCTCACTTATATATTTAATTTAATAAATTCAGAATCAGAATTCAAAAGGTGGTTGCTAAGAGCTGATGTGAGGAGAAATGGTAGGATGCTGATCAATGAGCAAGTTCTGGGGACCCAGTATACAGGATGGGTGGTGATAGATGTCTTAATCGGACAGCAGTAATCACATAATGTATATGCACGGAAAGTTATGTTGTACACCTTGAATGCATTATCTTAGTCAATTATTTTTAAAATTGAAATTTAAAAAATACCATTCATAACACCAAAAATATTAAATACTGAGTGAATTATGAGAAAGACCTACATACTGAAAAACTGTAAAGTATCACTGAATGAAAATAAAGCCTAAAAAAATGGAGTATAACTTGCTCATGGAATTAAAGTCTTGATACTGCTAAGATGTCAAGTACAAACCAAAACATCTAGAGTCAATGCATCTCAACCAAAATTCTAGTGAGCTTCTTTTGAGATAGAGTCTAACTATGTAGTTCAGGCTGGCCTTGAACTCATGGTGATCCTGCATCAGCCTCCCAGGTGCTGAGGTTATGGTGTGCACTTCCATGCCCATCAGCACCCAGACAGTCTTTCATAAAGGTGCAAAGAGAAGGTAAAAAGTGAGGCAGTGGTGCTTCTCCTTCTTGGTCAGATCCTCACGTGTCTTAATGAAACAACATACAATCACTCTTATAATAAAATGTAGTTTAAACTGTGTATTTATAAGGAGCTATTAGAAAGACTAAAGTCCTGATAGAAACAAGTGAAATCAGATTACTGAAAGATTTTTTATTCTATAAGAAATTGATCAGTGCAATCCTGTGGAACCAATGTCTGTTACAGAAATTTTTTTTGCAAAAGTAAATGGAAAACCCCTTTAAATTATTTATATACTAATTTTTTAAAACAAAAGTCACAGGGTCTGCTTTGTCTTATTTAACTATAAATGCTACACATTTACAAGCTGAAAACAAAGAAATAGATGTTACACAGATTTAAATGAAATCCTTCAAAGAATAAAACTGTTTCTCAGTCTACTGTATTTTGAAAGTTAATTATCATCAAGCCCAAATGAAAACTGTGAACCAAAAACTATGTTTTTCTAGACAATAAAGAACATTTAGATTACTAGCAAAGTAACATCTTAAAATGTATCTTCACTCAGTTGAAATCTTAATACACTATAAACTTGTGTATCAAGTCACTTTATTTATTCTACTTTAAAAATATATACAACTATGATATCCAAATATGTAATATGTCATCTGTCCAAACATAAATATTAGAGAAATTCAAACTGCTACAAGAGATTATAAAGGGATTAAAAAAAAAAAGATGAGCCACAAATTATGTAGGAGGAGGAAGAAAAAAGGTTATTCAGCATTTATATCTGGAGATACAAATTTCTTAAATTATATATACATACCCCAATGAGTAGACAGCCCTCAAAATTTAGAGCTACACAGAGATTAGACTAAAGCCACACATTTTTTTTTTTCTTTTGTAAGACAGGGTCCTGTTATGTAGTTAATGCTAGCCTTGAACTCACAATATAGCCCAGGCTGGCCTCGAACTCGCAGTGATCCTCCTGCCTCAGCCTCTCAGGTGCTGGGATTACAGGCGTGCACCATCACACCTGGCCACTCTTTTCAATAACAGGTAGTGGTGATTAAAAAAAATTGTATCAATGTTTTCATGAAAAACTATTTATAGTAATAGTCTACTGCAGTATCATGAAGTTTTGAGAGAAACAGGTTAAGTGAGTGGACAATCTATGCCAAATGTGGCAAAAATCTGTATCTCACTGTTTAATTATGGTATATGTGAACACAAAAGAGTCTATGAATAACCAGAAAAAGACATTTTACATATGCCCATTCTTATTAATATATTAACATTAGCGCCTGAAACCTTCAAATATAAGTATGAAGGGATGCTTTTAAAGCTACAGGACAACTTCAACACAAGAACTCGGATAAATCTGCAAAATCTTGAACTTTTTAATCCATTGATAAATGCAGAAAGAATAGCTATTTGGTCTTTAAGAATCCTAAAAAGTTGAAAACATGTTCATCTCTTACTACACTGTAACATCTAAAATAGCCAGCACAACAATGTGATTTCATTTTGTTCTTACATCCAATTTTGTGTGTGTGTGTGTGTGTGTGTGTGTGCGCGCGCACGCACGCGTGCATGTGCACACGTGTGCATTTTAGGACAGCTTAGAATTGAGCTACTTCTAATCAGTAGTGGTTAAGAGGCCCAAATTGCTTTTCTATAGAGGCCCATGGCATATGACAGTCATGTTCAGAACTCATAACTTTTGGGTGAAAAAGGGCGGCTTGGCAGAAGACCAATTGCATTTTTGTTTTTTAAACAGCAATAGACTCTTAAATGTCCATGTAATTTTGCATCATCCTGTATTTCATTCTGAAATATTTGAACAAAATCTTCATTCATCTCAATCTATGTAAGTTTTAAGATACAGACACAATCTAAACCCTATAATGGACAGAATATGCACTAATATGCATTAAATAAAGTACAATCAGTGAAAATTTGCAAATAGGAAACACACATAGCATTCTAACCTTTAAATCATAGAGTTTGCTAAACAGATACTGTAGAAACAAAATGTGCAAGACAAAAATAAAAACAGGAAAAACAAAAAAAAACTCTTTACATCACACCCATGAGGATGCAATGTATGGCACTTATGTGATACAATATTTCAATTGCCAACTTCAACTGGGAATAACTTGAAGACGCCAAAGCAGTATTAAGAGCAAGATCCAGCCAGTTAAAATGTCAAAATGACACAAATTACTTTTCCTCGTAACAGCACTAGAAATGTAGGGTGTAGAGAAACCACAAAAAATTTTACCCCTCAATTCAACCCTCCTCCAAATTATTATTCTACCTATTATAGTAATCTGACTTTTAAGGTCTGTAAAAACTCCTGTTATGGATACATACCATTTTCTATGTGGTAGCCTTGTAGAAAAAGCTGTAAATCATAGAATAAACCACTCAAAACCCCAAATCTAACATTTTCCAAGTAAGCAAGAAATAAATTATACCACAATCAACTAAAAATCATATCAATGTTAATTAACATATCTATGGAAGACACCCCCCCCATATAATTAAGCAGTGCAGAACAGGGCTTGGGCTACAGTTAATCATATTTGGTTTCCTTAAAAACATAACTTTATTCACTATACACACAAAAAAAGGCAGTTTCCTTCCTCCATAACACATCTAGACATTAAATCTAAGTTTTTTTTAAAAAATATCAACTACAAGAAAAGTATTTTAAATGATTAAAAGGAATCAAAATACCAAAGTTTAGTGTGTGAAGAGTAAATACAAACAACTAAGAAAAAAGTAGATCATTGGTATTGAATATTTAACATGAACAGCCCAAAATAAGTCCAAAGTTTTTCCACCTTTACAAATAAATAAAGGTGTCCTTTCCATACTTTGGGAATATGCATTGTACATCTCTCCCAACAAGTACATGAGCAAAGTTTTAAAATGTTGCCAATATTAAGTTCTTCAGTACCTAAAATTAGAGCACAACAATATTACAGTGGCAATGGTACATCACTTCTCACAACGCAGTTATGATCCAACACGAGTTGTGGTGGTTCTTTTATCTGAGAAAAAGCTTTTCAGAAGAAATACCTGCCCTATGCTAACCACCAGAAGGATGAGGGCTTCTCCTACTGACCAATAGGCCACTCTAGTATTTAGATCCTCTGCTCGGCTGCGGCCTTGTGCTTCTCTCAATCGAAAATGAGTCTGATAGTCAATGACAGACTTCAGAGCTTCATGAATGGAAACACAGGCAGACTCCATCTGAAGAGAAAAAAGTTTTAGTTAGCATGTTTAATACTTGCTATACATCCTATATCTAGCATATTTATCCCATCTTTCAGTCTAATCTCAAGTCCTTCTAGGATCAACATTCTAGTAAATGGGCACTCATTCATTAATGCATTTATGCCAGTTGTCCTGGTAATGCAACTCTTTCACTCTTTTGTCTAGGACCAGTGGTAAGGTTAGGCAGGGAATAAGGTAGCTGTTTTCCCCAAACTGGGATGTCACCAGCATGGCATTAGTAAGGTGGGAGATAGAACACTAAACTAACGTAGAAGAAATGCTTATCGGGTAAGGTTGGCAGCTACAGAATTTTATGCAGTCTTAAAAAAAAATTACAAGAGGAAGACAGTTAAGTTCATCCATAATGAGTACAAGTCAGAGCCCAAATATCTCCAAATATGGCATAAAAACAGATTGAATTAGTCAAAGTTATTTGGGAGTATCTTTTTTTTTTGGTACTAGGGATTGAATTCGGGTCTTTGCGCTTGCAAGGCAGGCCACTGAACTGCTGAGCTAAATCCCCAGCCCCTGGGAGTATCTTAAATATGGACATACTATCAAAATCCTTAGCTAACTTTTGAATCTGAAAATAAATGACCAGAGTAGGATTTTTTTTTTTTTTTTTTTG